AAGAAAAATATATTATTTCTTCTCTCTCCCATCTACAACAAAAATGAATCTAACCATACTAACTATCTCTAAACTAATTCCAGCTCAAATTGAATGATGATTTTTTTGTTAAATAATACATTGTTAAAGACACTGATTACAAGTATAAATATGATTATCACATTCTACTATCATGGTAAAACATGGTAAAATATGTTGAAGAAAATTACAATTCTAACTACCATACAATACCACATGGTAAAACGTGGTAAAACATGATAAAATATGTTGAAGAAAATTAAAAATCTAACTACCATACAATACCACATGGTATAACGTGGTAAAACATTATACAGAGATTTACAAATCTAATTACCATACCATACCATATGGTATAACATGCTAAAATAAAATTACAAACCAAACTACCACCACATGGTATAACTTGGTAAACCACGCTATAGAAAATTATAAATCTAACTAGCATACAATACCACCATAGTAGAACATGGTAAATCAAAGCACCACAAATTAATTATAATTACCATATAATACCACATGGTATGAGAAGGTAAAACCATGTAAATCTAATTACAACCCTCTACGACCATAGTAAAAACATGATATTCATAAAAATACATTCCGTTACCATACATTACCATATGGTATAGACACATTACCATATGGTATGGACACATTGCCATTGTAATTGCCACTGACAATGGTCGATGAGTGGAAGCTACAGTTTGTCTCCTTTGTTTCCTCATTTTTGTCATATACTTACGTCGTCGGATGTACTTTCACGTCCATGTTACAAAGCCTCTTATTTTCTATATTCACAATTCTTTTAACACATAAAATTTCTTCTTTTGGTAGAAACAAGAGCGCAGAGGAGCGCTCCAACCCTTAAAAATTAATCATACGCTGGGTCTGAACCCCAATGGCGTCAAAATACAACCAGTAGTTGAGCGTAGAGCTCGGGTTATCCACAAACCGGATCCCAACAGGAAAAAAATGGCCAAGCGAGGCCAGATAATCCGCCACATAGTTTCGCTCTCGGAAAACATGCGTTAACTGTACTTCCCACTCCTGAGCCAGCAGATGTCGCACCGAGGCGACTAATGTGTGATGGGGATGGTTAGATGGTCCACCATTGATGAGCGCTAGAGCTGTCGCTGAGTCTGTTTGCAACTGGAGCTTCCGAATCCCTGCGTCCCAAGCCATCTGAAGGCCATGAAAGACCCCTGCCAGCTCCGCGTGTGTGATTGAGCCACCACCGAGATTAGCCGTAAAACCTCTCAAAAACCGCCCATCCTGGCCGCGCAATACTCCACCTGCTGCTGAGCTATCATGACCCGTAATAACAGAGCCATCTGTATTCAAACAAGCCCACCCTTCCGGTGGTTGTTACCAGCCAATCATCATTTCCCTTTGCGCCGTCGCATTCCCAAACACCCGCCCGACCCTCCTAGATGATTCATCCACCTGCGCTCGCAGTTGCTTGGTCTGGTATGCTAGCTGAGTAGCTGGCAACAAAGATTTTTCAAAGACCCATTGGTTTCTATTCTTCCAAAGCTGCCAACAGAAGATAGCAAACAGTGAGGCATCGATACTCTTACTCTTCCCTGCCAAATAGTGCATTGCCCACCGCATAATGTCCTGCTCAAAAAAGAATTCATCAGGTTCATCCTCTAGCACCTCCGCCCAGGCTGCCCTGGCAAAAGGGCAATCGCGTATCACATGTATAATCGTCTCAAGGCCTCCTCCGCAAACCTGGCATTTATCGAGCTGCGTTAGATGTCTCCTTTTCTGTTCAGCGTTTGTGAGCAGTCGGTCTCGTAGAACAAGCCAGAAAAAGGATCGAACACGCTGCGGTCCATGAACCCTCCATGCCTTCTTCCAGATCGGGTGTTGATGAGTTTCCTCAACTCCTCTTGTCAATTCATAAGTTGTCTTCGGCGTGAAAGCGCTTGATGGCGAGAGCCGCCATATAGGGACATCCGCTTCCTCACTATGGGGAACAGGATGCAGCTGCAGCTGCGCTACCATGGCTTCTGGGAGGAACGCTCGGGCATAAGTAATATTCCAGTCGCCATTCAGCACCATTTCTGCAATGGTTAGCTTCCTTGCAGCCGCCGGGAGATTCACATCCATCTCAGCAAGTGGCAGCCCATCCTGTAACCAACGATCTTCCCAAAACAAAGCTTGTATACCATTGTTGACGTTCCACATTAAGCCTTCAGGAATGTAATGTAATACTCGAAGAACTCCCCGCCAAAGATTCGACAATCTGCCACTTACTCTAGGGACCCATCCTCCTTCATGCCACCGAAGATACTTCCCCCGAATTACACTAGCCCATAGGCTATCCTATTCCGTTAGAAGACGCCATGCTATTTTTATCATGAAAGCTTCGTTCATTCGTGTTGCACTGCGGACACACAACTCTCCTTCTTCTTTTGGTTGACATAGAGTCTCCCAGTCTACGAGATGAACCTTCCTCCCTTGGTCAGAGCTCCCCCAGATAAAGCCTCTGATTTTTTTTGTCGATATATTCTCTAAGTGAGGCTGGCAAGAAGGTGGTCTGCATAGTATACGCAGGCAGTGATGATAGCACCGACTGAGCAAGAGTGATACGACCAGCGAGAGACAGTGATTTAATGCGCCATCCTGCTAGCCGCTTATCAGTTAGATCAATGAGTTCAGTAAAGGTTGCATGCGAGACTCTATCATGTATCACTGACACTCCCAAATAGCGAACAAGATTCTTTGTCTCTGGAATATCGAGTGCCCCACCTAAGCTAGCGCAAACCGCTGTTGTCACGTTTTTCGAGAAGAAAACTCTCGATTTTGGTTTACTCACTTGTTGTCCAGAAGCTGCTCCAAAGGATTCCAAGCATTGATGAATTACCTGACCTGGTTCATAGAGGCTTCACCAAAAGTATTAGATCATCAGCAAAGAAACTATGTGACAGTGCGGGCCCCTGTTTCGGCAGTCTCAATGGCTTCCAATCTCCTCTGGCCACAGCACCACTAACCAGCTGCCCAAGTCTCTCCATACACAAAGTAAAAATATATGGAGAGAGCGGGCACCCTTGACGTAATCCTCGTGATGGCGTGAACGTTTCTGTTAAGCCACCATTCCAATGTATCTGCATGCTAGTAGAGGAAATACAGCTCATTGCGAGGTCAATATACCTTTGAGGCACACCCGCAGCTTCCAACGTATCCCGAATGAAGCTCCATTTAATTCGATCGTAGGCTTTGGCAAGGTCTATTTTTAGGACCATCCATCCAACCTTGCTGTCTTCGCTCTCATAGAGTGAACCACCTCCTGCAAAACACAAATGTTGTCAGTAATATGTCTCTCCGGGACGAAGCTCGTCTGTGTCTCATGCGCTAGCTGGGGCATGAGGGATTTCAGCCTCTCGGCTAGGCACTTGGTGATCGTCTTGTAAGCCACATTGCACAAACTGATAGGCCGAAAATGCTCAATCAACGTCGGTTTCTCAATCTTAGGTATCAACGCAACCACCGTCTCGTTTACTTCCTTCACTCGTCTCGGCTCCAACCAGCATCCTTGTATGAATTCAATCATTGTTGGCCCTACCAAATCCCAGCATCTTTGATAAAATAATGGTTGCAAGCCATCCTTTCCGGGCGCCTTGAGCGCACCCATCGATCTAATGGCATGACGTATCTCCTCCTCTGTAAACTGAGAATCCAACGACAGTCGGCAGCCAGTGAGCTGGTGGGATCTCGGGAAATGCCACTGGTATAGTTGTCACCAGGGCACCATCATCTGTATACAGCTCTGAAAAGAAATGCCGCGCCATCTCGAGAAGCAACGCTTGATCCTCAACCCATTCACCCGCATTATTTTTTAGACTTGAGACTCTATTCTTTCGTCGGCGTGCAATTGTATGAGCATGGAAATACTTCGTATTTTTATCTGCCGAAGCAATCCACTCCAATCTGGATTTTTGGCACCACAACAGTTCTTCTTGCAACAATATGGTCTCCAGCTCGTCTCTGGCTTGACTCAAGGGTAAACTATCCGATTCAACAGCCACTCGCATCTCAAGGCGCGCAATCCGTGCTAGCAATTTGTTTTTCCTATGAATTATGTTGCCAAAAACCTGCATGTTCCATATGGTGTCCTCTTTAATAAATTCTGTGATGGAGCTGCATAGATCAGCACCCTTCCTCCACGAAGTCTCCGCCATCTCTTGAAAACCCTCATGCGTCAGCCAAGCCGCTAAAAATTTGAAAGGCTTGGTCCTGCTGGCTGAAACGTAGGGTCAAGGTCAATGAGCAGCGGCCGGTGATCGCTTTTAACTCTCGGTAAATGGCGAACAATTGTATCCGGGAAGAGGGACACCCAATGCCCATTAGTCAACCCACAATCCAACCTCTCCTTCACATTGCCCCAAAACCATGTGAATGGCGGCCCCGTAAAGCCTAAGTCAGATAACCCGGCATCAAGAACACAATCTTGAAAGTCACGAACTCTGCTGGCATCAAAAGCAGCACCCCCCAGCTTATCCCCAGGTTGAAGGATGGAATTAAAATCTCCTGCTACCAACCAGGGGTCCACCATATTCTCCGCTATTGTTCGGATAGAATTCCAGAGAGTCCGGCGTTGCACAAGAGCTGGGTTAGCATACACCCCAGTAAGAAACCAACTTTCCCTACCTTAGCAAACCTGAACATGCAAGAATTGATTAGATCGATCCACTTTATTGATAGTTACCATAGTAGAGTCCCAGGTCATCCAGATTCCTCCCGAAAAACCGGAAGCATCCACTATCAGGTACTTGTCATACCCCATCCGCTTGACAGTTTCAATAGCTTTATCACCACTGAATCTCGGTTCAACTATAATGGCTATACTTGGTCGGTTTCTCCTCTTATATTCTTTAAAAACTCACAGGAAACGTTTTCCTCCCACCCCCTACAATTCCATACAAAGACACTTAACATCTTAAAATATGGATGGGGTAACACGCAGCATCTGCTGCTTAGACAGGGTGGTTGGGGGCCTTGGTGATAAGGCTCCCCTTCTCCATCTCATTTTGCATCACTGACGTCTTCCCAATTAAGTGTCTTGTTCCTTCTATGTTTCCGTTCGATTTATCATTGCCTTTGTCGGGCGGTTTAGCCTTGGTGTCAACACCTAGCTTAGCTCCCAATACTTGCTCCACCTCGAGCATAGTAGTCACCATGGCCTCATCTTGTATATTCCTTACTGACTGCGCAGGGAGCCCTGAGATTAGCGACCCAGTCTCGGCAGCAAAGGGTGTAGGATTAAAAGCCCGAGCTGGCTGTTCTTTATCTACAACCCTTCCCTCTAGCACTGACATCTCTACCACCTTAGCTCGTGCAAGCATTTCAGCCGATTTATAATTTCCATCTTTCCCCTCGTGTCCCGACCTCTTATTCTTCCCTTGTGATTTAAGTGCAGTACCACCTTGATTTCCCTGCTGTCGAACCGCCTCAAAAACATGTACCTCTTGAGGCATCTGTTCTGATACCTGGTCATTATCATCCTCTTCATAGAGGGTTGTAAACCTCGAACCCATCGGGGATGCTTCTTACCATTATTTGATCCACCACTATGCACACCTTTGTCTCATAGACTTTCCTTTCTAGCTCTTGGTCTACGCTTTGCTATCATCCATTCCCCATACAACTTCTCTGGTTCCTTCACAATTTCCGGCTCTTGGGGACTTACCGACTCAGATTCCATTTCATCTTTCTGTACTAGACAGGAGCATGAAGATCGCTCGAAATAGGATCCACATTGAAGGCATATCTTCTCCAGCCCTTCATATTGAATGAAGTATTTAATCCCATGAATCATAAATTGGGAGAGTAGCGGCTTGGTGATGTCCACTTGCACACACACCCGGGCGTAGTCACTTCTAGCACCAGTACTCGTAGCTTGATCGACGCGAATTGGCTTCCCAATTTTCATTACAGCCACCTGATGGAAGTAGTGTATCGGAATGTCTAGCAAGCGAGCCCATACAAGTGTTGAAGAAATCTCGTGATTATACGGATTGAAATCTTGAGTCCATGGATGCACTGTTAGGTAGTTATCCCCCACCATCCAAGGCCCCCCTGTGATTGCTCGTTCATAATCGACACCCTTAGTAAATCGCACTAAAAAGTAACCATTCTTGGCTGACGTGACCTGAATCGGCCCTGCTTTTGCCCATATTCCATTTAGCTTCTTAGCGATTAACGTATAGGATAATGATCGGCCCAAAACCATAACCACTAAAGCTGATCGCCATTCTCGACAGAACATCCGCTCCTCCGCCAGCGTGTATTCAATTGATGGGCACTTGGGATCGACAGTTCCCTCAAAATCCGCCTCTTTTCCGTCTTCACGCATGGCTTCTGCAATACCTTCCGAGTCCGAGTCCGCAATATACCAGGTTCCTGTGTGGCTAGAATCTCCAAAGAGTCGTCTCGCCGCCCCCGCACTAGATCCCCATACTGATGGTCGTGGACTTGCTGGTCTTGGTGTCTTCTGCCCGTCGCTCATAGTTTCCTCAAAGGCAGCCTCTTGCATGGGAGTATTCCCCGGGAACGTCATGGATGGCTTCGCACGTTTTTTCGTTTGTTGGGCTTCGCGATCCCCTTTAGGGTTTGGAGACGAAGAGGCCGTTGGAGGACGGTGCTGTCCGGCCACGTTCTCCGTTTGCCCATGGCCATCCGTACCTCCCCCGGCCAGCGCCGCAGCCACCACCGGCATGGGATGATCAAAACCCTAGTCGCTGTTCGAAAACTTTGTTTCCGCCACTTCTAGAAACTCGGAGCTCAATATTTTAACACATAAAATTTCATAACCATCTGTTGATTTTTCCTAATTTTGTGTGATTCATTTCCAAATTTTCCAGTTACATCTAATAACTTTTCTTGGGGTTTCGAGTTCGTATTTAATGAAAAAATCGATGGCTTTAACACAACTGATCAACAAATGAAACCACTAATTTTAGCAAGTTATATTCCTTGCGTTTTCAGTTGTAATTTTGGTTGTTGTTTTTTTTGCACATATAAAATTAGATTAATTGGTCACTTGAAAATGACAGTCACTTCAATATATTTTGGAACAAAAACATTGATAATTATAACTAGTCCACAGCGGTGTGAATGTGTCTATGGTGGTACGAATATAAAGTATAGTAGAATGATTATAGAAATGGTAATTTAAATATACTGACTATTATATACCACTTTTCCTCATCGTCTACAACCGGTTACCACTCTTTATCAAGGTGTATAGGATAATATATTGGGTATGCCTACTATGACATGCATGTCACGGTGACATGCACTTTTCGGTCGACCTATTGCTGAAGGCGGTCGACCGAATCGACTAATTTGGGTAGCACGAGAAAGCATTGCGGTCGACCTCAACGACCACCTGGTCGACCGCCCTTAGTTTAAGTTGATATTTTTGGTCGACCAGAATAAAACCTGGGTCGGCCATTTCGTTGGCGTCAGAAACAACATGGTCGACCACCTAAGGTATATAGGTCGACCACTTGATTGCAGTCATTAACAAAATGGTCGACCACTTGATGAAAGAGGTCGACCAGATAGAAGATAAGTGTTCTATCAAAGTGTCCAATTAATTGACGTAAAATCAAGATCAAGTGTTGGTTTCGCGGTCGACCTAATCCATTACGAGGTCGACCGAATACAAGAAAGTCACCCTATGCCCCGTGTCTTTTTTGCTTATGTATGTCGATTTGTGTGGTTCTTTTAATCGTATAAATTATGTTTCAAACCATCATAATTAGTCATAATTATAACAAGGACTCATCAATTCATAGCATAACAACTAAAAATAAAACAGAAATCATAATTGTTCACACATAAAAATAAAACTAAAAAAACAACAGAATAACACTCAACAATCGTTTTGACCACTAAAACACACAATATAAAAACTCATTTCTCCTACTCATCTCCCCCCTCTCTCATCCACATTTTCTTCATTGGTGGTGCTAGCATGATGGTGGTCGGATGTGGTGGGATGCATGTATCTTCCGCTGAAAGATCGCCACTCATCTCGCATCTCATTCACGGTCACCTGCATTGTGCTCATCTGGGCGGTCATTTGCCCCATGTAGTCGTGCATGCCAGTCATCTGGGTGGACATCTGGCCCATGTACTCGTACATGCCATCCATGCGCTCCCACACACGCTGTAAGGTGATCGGTGGAGTTGAACTCTGTGCCTCCCCCATTGGCTCGTCTCGAGCTCCTTCATCACCCTCATCATCATCATCATCATCATCATCATCACCATGAGCATTGTTTACTCTGACATACTCACCATTACGCAGCTCAAAGCCCATCTTTTTCAGAGATGAAACAGTATAGAACTCCTGCCTTGAGATCTTAACCCCACCTCTTCACTTAAATTCACATTAAAATGCTCAAATAGCACAGTGAGGATCATCCCATAGGGAAGATTCCTGTTTGAACTCTCTGCAGCAGTAAGCATGTGGTTAAAGATTAAGTATGGCAAGTTCACCTTCTCGCTTAACAGTAGGTTGGTGAGGAGCTCCATGTCGAAGTAGGTGACTGTCTCCCGATGTCCACCCTTTGGCAGAATGTTGTAGGAAAGCATGTGGTGAAGAACTCTAGCTTGAACTGTCAGGTGGTTACTCGATGGCCTATTGCGCCCCTGAGCATCTTCCTCTTCATCAAGACCACATACCATCTGGATTTGCTTGGCTCTCGTGAAATGCGTTTCATTCCAAGCACCGTAAGAATTGATTCTCTTCCCCTCGTTTGGAGCCTGAAGTACTTGCGCCAACACATTCTTGCTGATGCGCATCGCCACCCCATTCACATAGGATTTGAATGCGTGAATGGATCCATTTGCATTGCGCTCGTAGACGATGTTGTTGTAGAAGTACTGTACCAGTTTTGGGTAGTTTGGTACATTGAGAGATATCACCTTCAGCCACTCTTGCTCGATGAAGGGTCCCAGAAACCCGTAATTCTCGAAATGAGAATACGCATCCGTCGTCAATGGCCTTCCCGGAGCCACCCTGCGGTTGTGCATTCTCTTCTCTTCATAGTTCTCACTTTGCTCCTTGGTCTGGAACAGATTGGGATTGAACTCTTCCCATTCCGAACTTGAGGCAGCTGCTTTTTGTGCCTTTCTTTTCTTTTTGCCGCCAAACATCCTGCGATCAAACAAGCAAGAATACACGTTAGTCACATTTTCGAAATGAACAATACGCGGTCGACCACTCCATAAAGCGGTCGACCTCAGTTAGTTTAAAACGAGAATGGGTCGACCTCAGAAGAATCATAGGTCGACCTCAGTTAATTTAAAACGGGAATGGGTCGACATACACGAATTTTTGCCTTCATCGGTCGACCTCAGAAGCATCATAGGTCGACCTCGGCTTAATTGAAACGAGTCTAAAATGGCCCAAATCCTCGTACCAATTGAGTGCAAAACAGATCCGGTCGACCTCATAATTAGAAGAGGTCGACCAGTGTTAGTTTCGCACAATTAATTCAAAGACAATTGCACAACTCAAACTTTTGCCTTCATCGGTCGACCTTAGAAGCATCATAGGTCGACCTCGGCTAAATTGAAACGATTCTAAAATGGGCCAAATACTCGTACCAACTGAGTGCAAAACAGATCCGGTCGACCTCATAATTAGAAGAGGTCGACCAGTGTTAGTTTCGCACAAATAATTCAAAGAATTGCACAACTCCAACTTTTGCCTTCATAGGTCGACCTCAGAAGCATCATAGGTCGACCTCGGCTAAATTGAAACGAGTCTAAAATGGGCCAAATCCTCGTACCAATTGAGTGCAAAACAGATCCGGTCGACCTCAGAAAAAACATAAATCGACCTCGGAAAATTTAAATCGATTGAAAGCCAATTGTGCTTTCAAAAGCCGTGCAGTTCAGGACATTAGACCACCTTGTAATGCACTCGAAGACACAATCGTTTATGTCTTCGAGTGCATTGCAAGATGGCCTAATCTCCTGCACTGCGCGGCTTCTGAAAGTCACAATTGCCTTTCAATCGATTTAAATGGCCCGAGGTCGACCTCAATATCATCACAGGTCGACCTCAATAAGTTTAGCACAAATAAATCGAACTTTTGCCTTCATAGGTCGACCTCAGAAGCATCACAGGTCGACCTCGGCTAAATTAAAATGAAAAGAAATGGCCCAAATGCTCGTATCAATTGAGTGCAAAACAAATTCGGTCGACCTCATAAATAGAAGAGGTCGACCAGAGTTAGTTTTGCACACATAATTCAAAGACAAAGGCACAACTCGAACTTTTGCCTTCATAGGTCGACCTCAGAAGCATCATAGGTCGACCTCGGCTAAATTAAAATGAAAAGAAATGGCCCAAATGCTCGTATCCATTGAGTGCAAAACAGATTCGGTCGACCGCATAAATAGAAGCGGTCGACCTGTGTTAGTTTCGCACAAAAAAAAATAGAAATAAGGTCGCTTGAATAATAAGTGCCGAAATCTCAACTCGAACTTCACAGGTCGACCTCAATATCATCATAGGTCGACCTCAGTCCATAAAACAGAAATAAAAATCGATTTAAGGCCAGATGCGGTCGACCATGATTATGAAATTAAAGTAACATATGAACACAAACACACATTATAGATGAATATGTAACGTAAACTTACCCCGTGCTTTTCGAAAGGACTCTTAGATTCTTCTTCATCGCTATCATCACTAAATAATCCTTTTCTTACAAATCCGGCCTTCTGTGGAGTGGTGTAGGAGTCACTTTCATATCGAGGTCTATTGTACTTAGGAGAGGAACCCTTGCTGCCATTCGTTGTTTCACTCTGTCAAACATATAAACAAAACAAATTAGCACTAATGATAGTAATACTAATATCTTCAATCACCTATGAATATACTTGGATACCTTTAAAATGTGCTCTTTCAATAAATCGTCTATGCTCTGGTAGCAATTTTCAGAGTCATCATGGTAATCTTCCTCTTTACCAAAGTCAAAATTAGGTCCTTTACCATTTCTTCCGCCATTCTCCATTCGTTCTGCACTTATATCTTTGATAGCACCTTCTAGCCTCTCAAACCCGTCATGCATCATCCCAGTCATATCTGTCAGTCGAACTGACAATTGCTCCACTCTATCACACATGGACTTCTGAAAGTCATTGACTTGTGTTTGACACACCACCAGCTTCTCTTGTGTGGCTTTCAACAATTTCATGATTTCACCCAAATCTTGATGCAGTTTCTCATCATGCGTCATTGTCTAAACAATTTCAAGAAAAATTTAAATCATAATTCAACTTCAAATTTCTACAATTGACCAAAAAACAAATACGTGGTCGACCTGACATAGTATTAGGTCGACCTGGAAGACAAATAGTGACTACCACAACCATTAAGGTCGACCTCCGTTATTCCTAGGTCGACCTATCTAGCAGGAAAATAACAATTAACAACAAAAAGTAAGTTCTAAATTAAACCGAAAAAAGGATAGGTCGACCAGATATTTGGCGCGGTCGACCTTTTCAAGCACAACATAGTCATACAATCAAAGCCAAAGTCGACATTCAGGTTGAATAACCAAAAAAACAGGAACGGTCGACCTTGAAACCCATTAGGTCGACCAATTGGGTTACCTCGCAAGTACAGAAATCCAAGTGTTGTGGCCTAAATTCAAATACGCAGAATTGTCTCGTCAAGTCGACCTGATTGAC